GATTTTTCGAGATAATCACATTTCCCTCTTAGATATCACGGTGATTATCGTACCCCGTAAACTGAAGATTAGCCATATAATTACATATATATTTATCTCAACTTTTTTTTATCAGATAAAAAATCTTTATATCTTGAAAAAATACAAATCATTCAAAAATATCATAAGAAGTTCTTTTTATCACCTTTTTCATATCAAATTGATTGTATAGATAATTGCACTAAATATTTTTTTCTTTTAGTTTAGCAAAAATAATTAATTTTTATATATAATTAAAATCTGACTGAAGAATAATTTTATCAAAATAAATAGAAAAAATTTCTATAATATAAAAGAAATCTAAGTAAACAAAAATAAGTAGTACTGTCATTTAATATTGTGAGATACTTATCTGTCAAAGAAATTAAAAAGTTGAAATTTAAATATTATTTAAAGTTATTATAAAATATATTAGATAATATTTTATAGTACCTTCTCTTTATATTTATTTTTGTCAAATCTTTTTTTTTTATATAAAGTATAAAGTAACAAACTTATTAAGATCTGATCTCTTTATCTGAAGTGAATTCATCCTCAAAATTTAATAACCTACAGTATATAAAACATTAATACATATAACATACTTGTCAAGATTTTTGTTTTTAAAATATAATTTTTTTTATCCTTAGCATTTTCTTTTATTGAAATGTTTTTAAAATTCTATAGCTTATTGGAATACAAAGCTCAGAATCTATTTTTAATAGTCCTTTTTCTCATTTTTCTTCACTCTCTACTTTTTTTTCTAATATAATACACTGGTAAAACTTTGTGTATACTAGGTTTAGATTGAATTATAAAATTATTAATTAAAGTAGCAAACTAATTATTGAGTAGTCTAGAATATATATACACTCTCCCCTATATTACTGGAAATCAACAATCATCAATCAATAAAAAAAAATTTTATTTTATTCATTTACATTTTTTTATGTAAGAACAAATAATAACTATACTCATAAAAACTAGTTTTTTTTTGTAGATTTATTTTTTTAAAAAAAATATATGGAAATAAACTAACTATCGAAAAAAGAGATCAAATAATCAGTGTTTATCTTGCAGGTTCAAATAGATTAAAGATAGCAACTGCACTGAAAATTTCTTACACAATGGTATATAATACTATAAACCATTATAAAAAAACTGGTACTCTTCATTCAAAGAAATAATCTGGTTGACCAATATCTCTCTCAAATTATAGCCAATGTTACTTGAAATATAATGTATTAAAAAACTGTTTTTTACCCTTAAAAAAATACTGATAAACTAAATAAAAGTTTTAATACAATCTATAATCCTAAAACTATTCGAAAATATCTTCATAATTTTGGTTTAAGAAGTTATGCTACATGAAAAAACCCTTTTTTAATCAAATGCCAACAAATTTATCAATTAAAATGATGTTAAACTAAATATAATTTGAAAGAAGAATGGAAGCAAATTGTATAGTCAGATAAGTTTAGATTTACTTTATTTAAATTGGACGGACAGGTAAAAGTATAGAGAAAAATTGGTGAAGCTTATAATAAAAATTGTATTTAGCCCATAGTTAAATTTGATGAACAATCTGTCATGTTTTAAAATTGGTTTGGCTGGTATGGAGTTGAACCATTAGTAGTAATTGAAGAAAATATAAATTCTGATATATACATTAATACTTTAGCAAATTATTTGATACTATACCTTTGTAATAATCCAAATACAATATTTCAACAAGATCTTGCTCTATATTACACATCATCTTATACAACTTGGTGGATAGTAACACATATAATATTCCGATTTTAGACTGGGTTCCACAAAGTCCAGATTTAAATCCAATTGAACACTTGTGGAACCATCTTGATCATCAAATTCAAAAAAAAAAACTTTACCCCAATCAAAAAAGGATTTAATTCAGGCCACACAGGAAGAATGGGCAAATATTACTATAGATACTTTATATAATCTAATTTTAAGTATGCCAAAACATACCAAAAATATTATTAGAGTTAAAGGTGGGCATACTAAATATAGAAAAAAATTTTTTTTTTTCATTTTTTTGACCTATAAAATAGAATTTTTTTCTTTTATATCACTATTTTTTTTTATAAAAAAAAAAAAAAAATCGGATTTAAAAATTGTCACTTTATTTTATCAATCATCAATTTCCGGTAATATAGGGGAGGGGTGTGTAGTTCTGCTAATTGCTTGTATTATTCTGTACCTGACCTCATTATCAATAAACGGACTATTGGGTGGTTTAAATAAATATATATATTTAATAACAATACATATGATTAGAAATTTGGTGTACATAATTGATGTGCCCGAAGATAGTCCAACAAAACTTGCAGGTTATATCAAATTTGATGGATAAATTTATTTCACGGTAATTTCGATAAAAACTAGGTAGATTATTAATAAAGAAATCTATTTTTAAACATTGAATATTACAATCACTAACATTATAACAATGTAACATTCACACGCAGTCTATAATCATATTTGGAGTTCGTGTACTGTAGTTTCTGAATATGTATTCACCTACTGCGCATAAAGAAGGAGCGATTCTATAAAAAGATTGCGTAATTAACCGTCAGATTGGCCTTCTTTTGAAAAGAAAAACTTGAGATGCAAAAATTGAATGTGAAATTATCAAACGTAACACCAACCATTGAGGATTCCACAAGCAAGTTTGAATAAAGATTAATAATGTTTCATGCATGTGGCACGTAAGAAAACCAGGAAATGTCCTGGTCAGCTAACAATATTGTGCATACCGTGCGTAAAAAACAATGATAAGATGATCAGGGCCTTTCCCGTATGTACAGCCAAACAAGGAAGACTACTATTCCATTTTGGTATTCCGCAGAATTAAGAAGAAATTAAGATCATTACAGGTGAATAATTAACATGTAAAGCGAAAATTTTTACTGACGACATTAGAAATCACTTCTGAAAGTGTATTTGTTATGATAAAGCAACATGCACATTCTCCAATGATGCATATGCGATCAAATTAGGAAAATCCGTGTCCCTTAAGTTTGTGGCTGGATTATACGTAGTTATTCGCACGGAAGGGACCGAAAATATTAATGCTTGTGTTATTCACCAGTGAAATGAAAAGTAAAATGTCGTGAATTAAACCTGTCGCGATTAAGCACACGTGTGCCTTGAAATTTCAGTGCTCTACGCAAAAACTGGATTTCCTATTGACCATTACGTAATCTCAATACGCACCTTACCTAATGAGCAAAGAAACTTCTATTTATGATCGGAATCAGGGAACCGATTGACGCATGTAAACATTTAAAACAAAATGTAACCGTCAATTATACATATAGTACGTACCGGTATATAACAACCAACCACCATCGCGATTCACACTCAGAATTCACCGCATTATGTATTTAAAAATTGGTCTTTCGTTTCTAACCTTGAGCCAATTTCAATCGATTTTGGCATTAATATTGAGTATCCTGAGTATTGGGTGGTTCTTTTTCTTATCATCCATAGTAAGGTATCGTGCACTACAGCGGATTAAGAGATCAGACTCTGTACCGGTTTTAGAAGCTGTATTGCCACTCAACATAATAGATATTTTTAATATGTTGCGTTCACGGAGAACAAAATTAACAGTGATTATTTGCTTACTAGTGACGCTTGGTCTTGCTCTTACCAACTTTGATAGTTTAATTGTTGTAAACACCATAGGATACATTAATACATGTAAGACGGATGTCGTAAGGACCAATGCACTGATAACTAATGAAAAATTTCAAGTTGCGGTGGCTTCCTATGCCGATACAGAAGCTCTCTTACAGAAGAGAAACGAAAGTGGTGTCCCAAGTGGAGTCTTGGTGGGGCAACTTCCTCAAGATCCCGGTTGGGTATTTGATTCCGAGTTTGATGTCGATCCTTATCCGTGGAGGAGCTCGTGTTCAATATATGCGTCTGGAGAGGTTCAAGTAAACATGAATACATCAGTATTGTTTGACACGACCTATCAGAATAGTAACTTGCAGCAAATGTTACCAGAGGTGAATTCTAAGTACGGATTTGAAAATAGTACGGATGGATATAATTATACAAAAAAAAGTTTCAAGTCATATGCGCATTTCGTCAGCAACAGTGACAAAACCGGCTACATGGCAACAGGATGCTTAATATTAATCATAGAGGAGTTTACGAAAGGCAATGTTAGCCTAGTTGGATCCAGCGTTATAAACAGATTGTGGACACTTAGAGTGCCTCAGAACAACAGAATCCCTTATAATCTAAACAATCAATCTAAATTCGAAATTGTGTCGTTGCCTACTGTCGTCAAAGCATACTCGTGTGAGATAACGCGCGTTAGTGAAGGTAGTCGGGGCGGTGTAAACGTGTTGGGTGATATCTCTGTTGCCATAAGCACGGCGGGTGATCTCATTGGAAGAAAGTTCTTGGACGCACAAATAAAAGGTACCAATGACACAATTATGGAGTATTCGCCAGAGTATTGGGCATCGTATATAGAAGTAAGAGATACGATGACTGCAAATATTTCAGAAGTAACGGCACGAATAAGTCAACCATGTTTCTCCGTTAGTATTATATATATAATATTAATATGCGCATATATAATACTTATTATTGTGGGCTTCTTTTTCTGGATAAGGTTTCAGAGAGATAAGGTTGCAATTCCGGGGAGCGTTGTTAGTTGGGCGGTGCTTGCTTGTAAAGAGCCCAACTTAATCAAAGAAGGCGATGAATCAGATGGCGAAATCATCAAAGGTGCTGAATTCAGGGGCTACCCTAAAAACGTTGAATACCTTCAGTTTAGCGGATGAACATTACTCGTCAATTGATTTCTATCCCTGTAGAGTAAATATACATTAATTTAACATATCACTTAAGCAAAAATTTATTGGATAAAAGTTATGTTTGTTTTAAAATAATAGAATTTTTAAGCGCATATATACAGTATATAGTACATAACAAACTAGCAAATTTTTATTATACGGCCAACTCTCGATAAAAGAAACTGTGTATATTAGTTGATGATCATCAAAAATTTTCTCGGGGGAATTTCTAAAAATCCGAAACTTTTTTTAAATGTAAAAAGCTGTTACATATTAAAATTTTACTTTATTAATCATATTACCTTTTGCTATTAATTAAAGTTAAACTACACAATGAAATCTTTACATTTATACGAATTTTTTTTTAATTTTTGAATTTAATTATAATATATAACATATTATTAAAACCAATGTTTTAATAGACAATATTATATCTGCAGTAGTGACCTGCAGGCAATGAAGTTAACAGTTGGAAGGGTCTTTACCTGAACTGCTAATGGAGTGATAAA